AGCCTTGCCCAAATCCCTCCCTCCCTACAGGGGCTCAATTCCCCCCAACCCTATTTATCTGCAGGAGTTGCTGTCCAGGCTGCCTGAGGCCATGGTGCCTCATGCCTAACCGCCCTCCTGCCACTCCTTCCCAGCCCACCGCAGGCTGGAACTGTGCCAGCCTGCAGAGGACTCATCCCAAAACTGCAAAATCTTCAGGCTTCTCTGGTAAAATGAGACATCCGCATTTGCCTCTGGTTAAAGGTAAAATCCACAGTTTACTCCAATTTCCCACAGGAAATGGAAAACCCAGATCCCTGGTGATCACCTTGACTGCCATCTGCTGGGAAGCTCACAGCGGGGGCTTTACTCCCCCTGCCCAAGCCAGGAGCCGGGGCAATCACCCAGCCATCCTGTCTCCCCGGCTGACAGCCTGAGGAAACTGGGATTTGGTCAATGGGAACAGAGACCCAAACAGAGATGTGGCGAGCAGCCTGGGGATGGAAAGGAAACATTGAACATTGAAGAGTGCAGTCTTCTGCTCTGCCAGCTCTGCAAGGCGGGGGTTAGTGACTGGGGGCCTGAGCTGTGCTGACTGGCACTTCTGGGCTGGAGGAGGCAGGGGACCCACCCCAACCTGCCCACCCCCCAGCACATGCTCCCATGTCCATACTGCAGGGAGCAGCTGGGGGATGACTTCTCCAGGAGAAAGTACAGTGGTAGCTTTCCATCCACAGCTCCGCAAAAGCCTGTAATGAGCACTTTTCCTTTAAAAATGGGTCGCCAACCTGACAAGGTTGCAACTGGCAGCAAGGAAAATGGTTTGTTTCCTGTTTACTTCTTCCCACAACACACTGAGAAGAGGGTACTGTGATAACATAAGAAGGCAATCTGTCAATCATAAGCTCTACTCAGTACTAAATAAACTAATCTTTAGTTACATCTAGAGAAAAATAGCTACATGAGAATGGGTGCCTATACAAGGACAGTGAAGTTGCTACAAAGCGCAGTAATTACAGCATGTCAGGGGAGACTTGATTAATCGAGTCTGCTGAAGTGTGGTAATTACCATGCTCCACGCAGACCTTGCATCATGTGCATCCCTGCACTGAAAAGTGGCGATGGAGGCACTTTACTTAAGCTTGTTTGATGAGCTTTAATTAGCCATTTTTCAGCGTGGGGATGCTGATACACATAATGCTCTGGGCAGTTTAGTTAGAGCAGCTCTCAGAGCTGCTGTTATTAAAGCGACCCCCTCCCTGAGTATGTGTATAGATGCCCAATGAGCATAAGCACATGACTGAAAAAGTTAGCTTAGAATAGAGAACTTAATGGGCTCTTTTGTCATTATTCCAGATCAACAAAGCATCACCTTGGGTTAGGAAGGAATTGCTCTGTATGGTACTGAAGGGGCAAAGTATGGCACGCTACTATGCAGAGCCATCCGCCCCACAGTGCCAGGCCCAAAACCTTGTTTTGGGAGTCTCCCTCAGGGAGCCTACAGCCAGCTGTCCCACTTCCTGGAGAACCCCCACAAGCCAGGGGTAATGCTGCCACTACCCGGGCATTGGTCTCTGGCAGGGCTCTCTGAAGCCTGGGGCACACAGACCCTGTGAACCTTGGGGGTGCTTTGCCCACAGTAATATTTCTGGGTGCTTCTTTCAGCCTGAAGGATCCCTAACTAGCATCAGGAAAAGCTGAAGGAGGATAGAAAGGAAAAAAAACTTCACTGGCCAGGCAGGGGGTGGAAAGGCTTCCCCTCAGCAGCACAATTCAGGTTGTAACACAATACCTTTACTGATGGGGGCGTGGGAGGGGGAGGTAAAACAAGGAAGTCAGAATACACTTTGAGCAAACAAAACCAACTTGAGTCTTTACAGAGATTGGATACAGTGACCCTTTTAAGACACAACTGGCCTGCACATAATTCCTAACTCCTGGCAGGTTTCTCCTTACAGAAATCACCAGGCAGCTGCCTGGGGTGCTTGCTTGTGGTTTTCAAAATACCTGCCTGAAAGATGAGGGCTTCCTACTCCCCTAGGAATTTTATCTGACCAGGTCACCTGATTGAACAGCCTGATCCAAGAGAAGCAGGGAGGGAGAGGGGTCACCTGGGCTGACCCAAGTAAGGGGAGGGGATTTCTTCACAGGTACATCATTGCACTCTTACAAAAGATTCATTGCAAAGTTTGCTTCTTTTCCTGAGACATGTGACATCAGTCTCTGTTGGAAACAGATTTGTGGAGCGATTGAACAATGTTTTTTTGTCAGAATGCAAATGATCATGCTTCAAGGGCAAGGGGAAAATTTTCTATCCATCCACCCCAGACACAAACATGTTCCAGATCATGTAAAGTCTACCATATTAATGCTGACAAGTGATTACTGGAGGCCACTTCTTGCTATGAGGAAGGCTTATGGAAGTCTACAATGACAGCAGTTTCCTATGATTATGTCCATCGCAGCAGGTGAGCTGGTCCTTCACAGCACCACACATTTCCTAGGGTGAGGACAAGGCTGGAGTGCGGAGACTCAAGGGATGGATCAGCAAGCAGTGTGTTAAATGGGAGCCTGACAGAATTACCAGGTGTTTAAAAAAATGCCTGCCCATAGGTCTGCTAAAAAACTGAGCTGACTGCTGGGTCACAGACAGTAGTCCCTCTTTGGGGGGTCCACACTAGGACAAGGGGGTGGAGGCTGGTAAACCTAAGGCTGCCAGGGTAGCAGAGTATTGGGTGCATTCAGGAATATCAGGGTGAGTGGGGGACCCAGGAAGGGACAACACAATGTAAAACCATTGCAGCAGTCAAGGAACATTGCCAGCATTAGAACTGCTTTTTTACTAATAGGGTGTGTCCCCACAAGCATGCACGTGCAGAGTTCACCTTTCCTGGGACACAAATGTGTGCCACTGCTATTTGTCGCTGGGCATGCCCCTGCACATGTGCTCCAGCTCATAGCAAAGCAACCCAGGTAGGATAGGGAAAGCTGGGGCCAGCACCTGTAGTACCCCAGCAGCCTTACCTGGGGTCCTGGGAGATCTTTTGAGGCAGCAGCAGCACAAAGATGGCCGCTCAGAGCCTGGCCAGAAGCTGGAGAGTGGCTCTAGCTGGCCAGGCTCTAGTTTTTGGCAGTACATGTTGTTACAATGTGCACTGAGCCGCTTTTTTTAGCAGCTGTAATTTTTGGCACTAGGACCTCCCAATGTAAAAAAAACCCCACCACTCTGCAAATTAATAGCACTGCATGTGGTTTGTGGCACCTCAAATAACTTTGAGGTGTCACACTTGTGGGGGATGCGCTCATATGCTGCAAAACTTTTTACTGATAACCAAACTTATTTATTATGGTTGATATTAGAGTAACAAATTTGAGCTTTGTCCAACACCTGGCAGAAAGGTTTCATTTGTAGTTTGCAACACGTTTCTGTAAAGATGTGTGTCAATAAAAAAAAAGTTTGGTGGTTAGTAAAATAAAATTGTCTTGGGTTGCCAACTTTGGACCTTCAGGTGTATTTAAACTTACTCTTTCCTTAAAGAAGAAGGGAAAGAACCTAAGTGCCTTGATAAATTTTGTCCATTTTGTTTTGGGACACTTACTTAAAAAGTACCTGCTTTTCATATTATAGCAATGATGTTTTGAAAAGGAGAGAGAGAAAAAAAATAATTTTAACATCCAAGGCCCTGTGGCTGTCCAAGAACCATCTGCATCACAGCTACTGATGTAATGTGGGAGACTTGGTAGAGGCCATGGCCTTTGAATGCCAAGATCCTTATCTGAGACAGAGACCATGACACAGGCAGATGTTGCAAGGATAAATTAACATACTGATTGGCTCTGTCTTGTGTATGTCAGTGTCTAGTGGACAGTTTATGGAAAATGGCTGCAGAAAGCAGAATCTGACAGGTTCTCCTGTTGGCTACGAAGGATCAACTCACAGGATCATCATAAAATTCTAGTTTATTAGATAGATGCAAAAGTTAGGTCATAAACCTTGGGGCTGATCCCCTTAAAACACACACACACGGTAGCTAGCTATGAATACTAAGCCCCAGTGTCAAGATATACCTATCCTCAACCACTGGAGTCTGCCATCAATGGCCAGTTGAGGCTTCTTTCAGTGCAATATTACTTCACAAGGGGGTCACTGGCTGGTCCTTCTGGCTGGACAGGCAGGGTGTTGGTCAGGTCAAAGAGGGCGCCATTGAGGGGGTCATTCTTCACTGCCTTATATCCCTCTCTGCCAGACTTTGGCGACTCCCCAGTTCTTGGGCTTACCCAGTTCAGGGGTCATTGACTTCACGGGATGTCCCCCTTGGTGGCTGCTGGATGGCAGCTGTCAGCCCCAGGGGTCACATCTGTGAGTATGTGCAGTCTTAGGAGTCTGTTGATGAATTCTGATAAATTCACTGCCATGACGAATAGGGCTCTGGAAGTGGTTGATCTGGGGGTATTTCAGCCCCAAGAGTTGGTCTCCAGCATTGATTAGTTCAAACCAGGGCTTCTGTACTTTTAACAGTGAAGTTTCAGGGATTCCTAGCTCTGTATTGATTCTTTCCTCTCATCAGTCTGTGGTTTCCTGGTGTTAATTGCCGCTCATTAAAATACACATTCAATTATTGATTCATTCACTCATTCGGGGGGCCAGCCTGATACAGGGAGGCAGCAGTTCAATTACTGCCCTTGCTAACATTGTTACAGTGTACTTACTTACTGTTACAGTTGAGTTACTTCTGTAAATAGAACACATTCAGTTATAAGGTAAAGAGTATAAAATATAAACTACAAGAGTATAAAACACAAGAGGTGCAAATGCCATAGATACAAAATGCACACATACAAAATGTAAAACACAATTCCTTATACCAAAATACCCAAATCATTTTATATCTTATAGTGAAAAAGGAAAAGGGGAAAGAAAAAAAAAAGGGAGGAAGGAAGAAAAGGTAGAAGAAGAGAAGAGACATATCCAAAGAGGGGAAAGCAAATGCAGGCAAGAGGCCTTTGCTATCTATGGCCAGAGGGGAATATATGATGGAAGGGGGGCTTCTTGTCACACCGGGGGGGAGAGCAGGCAGAAAAGGGTGCTTTCTGTTACACTCTTCACAGACCATAATTTGGTGACATCTTGGTTTATATTGCTGTTTCTGCTGAAGTGCTGTCTGGAGGACCAGTTGCCAGAGTTTGGGATCTGTGACAAAACCTGTGGGAAGGGAAAACAACAGAATATTAGACGTTCCATCTTCTGCCTTAGGTTAGGCAGGTGAGCTCTCCTGCTGGGGACCAGGGGACACCGGCTTTTCAGAACTTCTCTATTCTGCAAATACCAAGTCCAGAGGTGTAACTAGCAATTGTGGCACTCTGGGCACAGCATGCAGCAGGGCAATGTCAAGCACTGCCCATTTTCCTTTGGCAGCCCTTCTGGCTTTTAGTCTAAATAGGTGCCACGGGCTCTTGCCCTGTTCACTCTGCCCTAGTAACACTATGGAGTTGTACTGCTGTCCCAAGGACAACTAAAGGCCTTCTCAGATCCTCCATTACTATCACACTTGCATCTCTTGTCTCTGCATTTCTGGTCTCATGATCCTGCAATTGTGGAGCCACTGCTCACAGCTGAGGGAGTGCCTAGCACTGGAGGAGAGCAGAACAGTGGAATTTGTCCTGGGCCACCAGGTCAGCTTGTCTAGTGGATAGAGCTGGGCGTGGAGTGGTGGTTAAAAGGTCAGAGTCAGAAACCACAAGTCAGGACCCAAAATGCCAAGCCAGGGTCAGGAGCTGGGAATCAGAAACCTAATTACCAAGTCCAAAGGATAATCCACAAGGCAAAAGTCCAAGAATAAGACATACTGGGGTCAGGAGTCAGGAAGCAGATTTTCAGGGAGAATCCAGAAGCTGAAATCTAGATGCAAGCTGAAGGGAGGTTCATGAACCAAGGAAGTGAGAGATGTTGCTGGGGCAGAAGCTGCTCAGAGACTGAAGGCCAGTGTGTTCTGCAGCAAGGCTGGGGTGCTGGAGGAGCTCCTCAAATGCAACTCCAGAACAAGCCTGCAGGAAGGGGCTAGAGGTCAGCTAGCCTTGAATAATAGTATCTGGTCAGTGCCCTTAACAAGGGCTGCAGGGTAGGAGCCAGCCTGAGCCTTACAGAGCTGACCCAGGCTGCAGGACAGGAGCCATATAGAGTTAAGGCCCACTGAAAGGTTAAGAACAAATCCCCTTGTGAGGGAAGAGGAGATGGTCATGAAGTGAAGTACTAGGAGCTCGGACAAAGGGGTAAGAGGAGATGGAAGAGGTTCCCTCCTGGTGCAGTTTCCTTGGGCAAAATATGGTATTCTTTGCAGTTCTATCCTGCAGCTGCATCCCTCAGGGTCACTCCATGAAGGCCTGAATGGTCCGAAGTCCAGCTCTATCGAGGGAGGTTCCTCACACAATGCAACATCGATGGTTCTGTTGCCCGATTCTCTTTACTGCCCTTCTACCAGGTAGCCCCGTTCAGCCCTCTGCAACTAGGAGATGCCTACTGGGCAGAGAAGCTGACCCCCTGCCTAGTGGCTCAATGGAGCTGATTGACTGACAGATCCTGTCATATGTAGATGACAGCTTTACTCTGCTGGCTCTCCATCCTCACAGGAAGAAGATCCCCTGGGTGCAAGAGGTAGGGAACTTAACAATCCTGTACTCCTTTCCTCCAGAAGTGTTGCACTCACCGAAATACAGAATCCCTCCCTTTGCTGTACCTGCCACATGCTCAGATGGCACTGATTGGCATGGTATCCTTGTATGATACTGTCATGCCCTGTAATGTTGTAAAGTGAACTACAGCTCCTGGGAGCCCCAAGGCATCTTGGAGAAAGAACTGTAGCAGGCACTACAACTCCCAGAATGCTACAGAAGAAAGGAGGAAGCAAAAGGAGCAGCCTGGGGGTGCAGAACAACATGGCAGGAAGAGAGGCAGGTGGCATGAGAGCAGGAAGCAGCTAGGACTGCAAGATGTTGCAGTGGGGCTCAGACATGGAGCCTGGACAGATGGCATATAGATGTTTTGGGACCAGAGACAAGTTTGGAGTCTCTCTGGAGTCATGGAGGGGATTCAACTAGCTCAGGTGTTTCCCTATCTGTTACCTGTTATCTGTTCTTGAGTGATTTCACCATAGTGACACTGTTTTTTTATCTGTCATATGCATCCTAAGTGTATGTACCCTAGCATTTATTTACCAGTACTTCTCCCAATCTCCTTAGCCCATTGGCTTGTGACCCTGATCCCCAACATCCTAATACAATAAAAGGCTGTCTGTCTGTCTGTAATGCTTTTGCCCAACTGTGCATGCACCACTGAGAGGTGGCATTTGGCTGCACGGGCTGGGCTGTGGGGGCCCCAGTTTGCACCACTCTCAGTGAAGTGTGTGGCAGTGGGAAACATGCCCTGGCCCCCCAAGCAGTGGGGCTTCCCCCACCCACCTCCCTGCCTCAGGCAGCAGTGGCTGGGGAATGCAGGGCTTGGTCCATCATTCTTGGCAGGTAATTTGCTAGTCCCTATATGAAAGTGGAAACCTCCCTTGGTGGTTCTCTGTGCTGGCTCCTTAGGTTGCAGGGTTTGTTACAATACCATTGGCATAATATCAGATCTAGACAAATTGATTCACTAATGCTATACGATACATACCGGCCATCATAGGGCAGACACAGTTCAATGAAAGCCAAAACGAGCAGCAAGCTCAGGAGACCAGAAAGAATTAAGATCCACCGAAGACAAAAATGACTCCTTTCTAAACAGGGAGAGTTGCTATTTCAGTTACGCTTCCTCACTGATCACTTCTTTTGTTCCATCCATCAGAGGAGCACGGGCTGCTTTTCACTTCAATTTAAAAACATTCATAGGATCATGGAGAAATTGCAGCCTGCTTCTACAACAACATCAGAATTGGCAGAGTCATCAGACCAAAGGTCCTAGATCCAAGCCTGTATCCTGTGACAGTGGCAAATCCTGGCTGCCTTAGTGGAAATGTATAAGGAACGAGGCATGCAAACAATGATCCCATCCTAGTCCTCCCACTCAGACACTAACAGTGATAAATGTAAAGAACCATCCCTCTTTTTCCTAATGGGAAACTAAGGCATACAGGTTTGTTTCCAAGCTCATGCATGGAGTTTGCAGCAGAGCCAGAAATAGAGCCCAAATCTCCCCATGCCCAAGCAGCTGGGCCACATGGAAACTGGTGAAAGGCTTAATAGCCAGTTAACTGTCCCCTACGGGCCCTGTCTGCCAGGCTAGACATTGCTGTGGTAAGAGCACAGGGAAAGGTCCCTGTGTCAGTCTGGACTTTTATAGTGGGTTTCTGTAGCTTTATCAGATTTCACTATCCAAATAGTTTACAGCTCTCAGTCCCTGTGGCAGCCTGACCAGTATCACTAATGATTCCCTGCGCAGAGGAGCACACATATTCAGCAGTTATGAGTGCAGACTAAACAGAGGAAAGTAATACTCACTCTTACCTGAGTGGCAGTCTATGGATTGGCTCCAGTTTCCCGTTGGATGAGAGATAGAGCAAGTTACTTGACTGTCTCTGGTGGGGTTAGCTACATATTTACTGAGAACAGTCACTGTCCCACTGGGGTGAGATTCATTCTTACCACTGTGATGGATTTCTGGGACCCATGACATTTGTGCAGCTGGTTTCCCTGCAGCTGCTTTGCACACCACACTGCCATTGTTGTCACAATTCAGGGTAACCTTGGGAGGGACTGCAAGGCATGAGAAAAGAGAAAGATTTGGTTTGATGCACTTAACATGGTGCCCTCCTCATTTCTACCCAGAGAAGCCAAGCATAGTGACAGGAATGGGAATGAAGGTAGTGTGGCAGTGAACACTCCTTGCAGTCCCCTTTTGATTTTCTCTGCTTGTACCTTCACTTGCCATGCCTTTGCTTGCCACCAAGTATAATAAAAAAGTCTTGAGATAACTTAGTGTCTGGGGAGGTTGCCTTAGTATCTTAAAAGGGAGCCTGGTGTATCAGACCAGTCTTGGCCTCTGGTGCTTCCTTTATCTCCTCTTCTTACTAAGTCTCCTGCCTCTCCTAGTTTCTGTTCCTTAGGTCCCTGACCCTGGCTCTGGCACTGGGTCCTGCAACCTCTGCCTGGCCCTCTCCAGGTTAAACATTGCAGTGTGCTCTTCTGAACTCTGCTGCATGGCCTCCAAACTACCCCTTTCAGCTGCTCCTCTAGTTTTTATTAGTACATTTTTAACAGAAATACAATCACCCCTGAGTGAACAGAACCAGGCATTCACCAAAATCTCATCCTGCCAGGTACACTCACAAATAAGGAGAGGCTCCCCCACCCCTACTAGCATCTTTACCTCCCCTTGTAGATACCGGTTCCCTGCTCTACTCCAGAGTTTTCCTTTCCCAAATACTCAGACACAGCACAGGGATTTCCCATTATCTAATCTAGAGCCTCTGCAAGAGGCAAGTCTGCAGTCCTAAGTCAGCTGCTTCTCCTTAAGCAGCCTCTGTATCTGCCTGCAGCCTTCAGCTCGCTCCTGGCCTGTGACACAATCTTTGTAAAGCCTATTGCTAGGCAGCTCGTTCCCCCTGGAACTGGGCAGACCTCCTGCTCTAGCCGCTACCTGCCCAGGACTGCTTACTGCTACAGGTACCAATCTTTCCTGCCTTTGTGGCAGCATCATTCTCTGCTGGTTTTAGGGAGCTGAGCTTCCTGGTCCCTGCAGCCTTGCCCCTCCACACCACAAAAGTCCTGTTCTTAGTAGCCTTAAGGGTTTTTCTTACCTTCCAATCCTTCCTCAGTAACAAGGCTGGGTTCCCTGTTGTACAGTCACACCAGGAATAGAGACAGTTCAGGGATAAAGTGCAAATCAGGAAACCAGCTGACCGGAGGAAGGCTGGGAGCCAGTCAGTAAAGGTGCTTTCCTGTGAGCTTTGCCTTAAATTGTTTTGCCTGATCAAGTATTCAGCCTCCCCCCAGAAAGTGAATGCTTGGGACCAGATGTCAAGGCCTCTGACTTGTCAGACCCAGCTGGGCCGAGCTCTTGAGCTTCCACACCTAGTCTTGCACCCAGCCTAATGCGACTGCCCCAGTTCCCTGTAACAGGACTGGCTGCTGAGTGCACCACTCGACCTTTCTAAGCATACCTGCAGCCTTGACAACAGCAGCCTCCATCTCTTTTGGCAACCCTCAGGTTCATTGCTGTCCCTGGTTGTCTTGACTCCTGACTCAGCCTTGCTTTTCCTGACCCTGATCTTGGATCTTCCCTGAAAATCTTCACGGGCTCTTTGATTCCCCTGGCTGCTGACTTGACTTCAGCTCTCCCTGACCCTGCTCTTTCATCTTTCCTTGAACTCTGAACCCAGCTCTCCGATTCCCCCGGCTTCTAACTTCCTCTTGCACGCTGAACTACATCCCTCAGATCCCTGCTTCACTGAACCAGACTCAGACCTGATGCCCCGGTAACCTGCACCCCCACCCGTCTGACCTCCTAGTTTCCCTTCAGGTCCTATGTGCAGGCCCAGCTGTCTATGTCCTGGCTGAACCCTCACACAAGAAGCGTATCCGTACATACAGCCTCCAGGCTTTACTCTGCCTCCTTTGGGGAAACAATTTGGTTTGCCAAATGTGTCTGCTTCTTCCTAGCCAACTCCACATTCCAAGCTATCTCACTGGATTATTCTGATCTCAAGTTGGGCGCTTGTATATGTGAGTGGGGTTTAGTCCTCAGGGTTTTATTCCATGCCCTCTAAGTTGAAACAGTGGGTTTTTAATTGAAACCTACCTTTTCAATTTTGCTGTGAAGTTATGGCAAGAGGCCCAATCCTTTTTTTTTTTTTCTTTCCAGAGTCAGAGACTGCCCATGGCTGGAGGGCAGGCTGCCAACAGACTGAACTGCTCCTGAGCTGTGGGGGGCTCTGGTCCTTCCCTCCAAGGTAGCAGTGCCCTCTGGGGCTGCCCAGATGGGCTGCTAGCAAGCTGGATGCTGCCCCTGCTCAGAGGCAGCACCTAGCCTGATCCAATTCTGCCCCAAGCCGGGGCAGCACCCGGCCCGCTAGCAGGTCCGTCAGGTGGCCTCAGAGGGTGTTACCACCACAGAGGGAAAGACTGGAGTCCCCAACAGGTCAGGGGCCACTTGGCCCTCCAACAGCTTGCCCTTTGGCCACAGTAGAGGTGGGCAAACTCCGCCAAAAAAAAAGAAACGTTTTCTGCAGGAATGAAAGTGTTTAAGTGAGTGTCCAGGTGGAATTGGCTTCTTCTTAAAAATAAGAAAAAAGGCAGCTGTGAAAAGAACTACCCCATCAGCCCAAACTACATCTTTGGCCCTGGATGGATTTTCTGCTTCCTCATCTCTCCTTTGTGTACCCATCAGTCTCAGTGCTAGCTGCGGAGTCGCATCTGCTGTGAACAGAAGGCTTCAGTTACTAGAACTGTTGCTCTGGCACCTTTCCTTAACCTTGGTTTAACCTAATGAAAATTACTTTTGGGATGCATGGCTGGGTAAGGGGATAATTGTGTAGAGGTCCCCTCTAACAAAGCGGGGTCTTTATACCCAATAGAAAACTTGCTCAAGCCTGCCTGTTCCTTCCAGCCCAAGAGTGAGGCTCCACTGCTGCAAGGGGTAGCAGAAAGGAAAGGAGGCTGAAGAGAGGGAAAGGAGAAGGTAGGGGTAGAGACAGAGGGCATTAATCGCAGGAATCAGAGATCAAAATGTGACTGGGCTTATCCCAGTCAGATCTTTCTGTGGGGCACACTCCAAGCCTGCATTCTCATCCTCATATGGGGAGAGGAGCTCGGTGTGTCAGTCCTGGGTCTGATCATTTAGCCCACTGAAGAACAGTACAAGGTGTTTCCTACCTAACACAGTCAGATGGTAGCATCGGTCGAAGTTCCCATCACTGCTTACGATTTCACAGATGTAAAGGCCCTCATCAGTGAGTTCCACTGATGAAAGCTGAAGGGTAAAATTCTGCTCTGGTTCAGGCTTCCAGTTCAGTCTCTCAATGCAGGCTGTTCTGCCCACCGTGTGTGTATCTTCCCTGTAGTATAGGCTGCAGTGAGCTCCCTTCCGTGGTCGTATCTTCCAAGTTACTGTTACCAGACTCTCCCATGAAGGGCTAGGACAGGTCAGCAGAACCCTGCTACCAGCAGACCCGCTGATGTTTTCTGAAGAAGGCACAGGGAGAGGAAGACACTTGAGAAGTCACCTAGGAAATTATTCAAGGCCTTAGAACAATGGCCTGTAATGCACTGCACTACTTTATTCGGACCTTCTTCAGATCCTAGAGCCATTCCATGTATTTATAGCTTCAAACAGCGACTGCTAAGTTAGTGTGTCTGTGCCCCCAGTCTGTAGGATTATCCCCTGCTCCATACAATCTTCCCCCGACTGCAGCCACAGTTCCAAGTTTCAGGAGGTGAGCCATAGTGGGGAGTGGAGCCTGGCTGACCCTGTGGGCACAGCTGTGCTGTAGGAGCTCCTGGGGTAACTTCTAATTTTCTTCTGGCTTTGGCAGCAATTGTGATGAAAAATGGTGCTGAGGAGACCGCAGCCTTAGCCATGAGCCTGTTCTAGACTGCAGCCATTTCTGGCCTTTTGCTGCTGCTGTGCCATCCATAGTTGGAGCTTTGGTTTAATAGCTGAAAGCTCTGCAGTATCAGATAGGCTTTGCATAAGGTATATACCCTGGTCTACAGTTCATAAAATTACCAGCATGAATATGGCATTATATGGTTTATATTTGTTGTACCTATGCTGGTATAAGCCTGAGTGTAGACCGAGTTCCTCTGCCATAAGCATCTAACATATCGAGTCCCATGTGTTCAATATATTTGCCCCATCCCAGTAGGCCAAATTATGACCTGCTACACTAGAATAAACATGAACCAACTCATTTAATATTAGCTGAGTTAGGCCAGAATTAAAAGAGCAAGAAGACCTAGGTTGGCCAGATGCCAGGAAAAGGGAAGCAGTCACGGCCCACAACTTCAATTTCTGCTTCCTCATCTCAAAAATAAATTTAAAAAATATAAAAAATAAACACAGAAAGAGTGGTTGAGCTTAATAAAGAACATAAATACACTTTCTTAAAATCTATGTGGTAGTATCCTGATTAGGGATGCAGAGGGATCTGTGCACAGGGTGGGGAGCCTGGACCTCTTGACAGGAAATAAACCTCAGTCAACAGGACCCCAGGCTCATTTGGGGCAGATGGCAATCCGTGGGTTGCCAGGTGTTGTGGGAGCTGTGCGGCCCCTACATGTGGTGACCAGATGGCTGTGTGCTCTGCCACATGCCCCCAAGATCTCTGCAGCTTTTCAACCCAGGCCCAGAAAACAGCATTCTCAATTTCACGTCCCTGCCAGAGATCTTGCTTCTCCACCCCAACTCCTCTACTGCTAGAGTTTAGAATTGATTATGGTTGTGTCAGATGGTTTGGATAGGGATGATCCTGCCTCAGGCAGGGGGTGGGACTAAATGACCTCTGGAGGGCCCTTCCAGCCTTACTTCTCTATGACTCTATGCATCCCACTGCAAATGAGCATGGAACGCCACCATCCAGTGTCTGTAGCAGGGAAGGCAAATTCACATTGAGGCTTTGCTTCCACCCATATGGACTCTAGTCTGTGTAGGGGACAGGTGT